TCGGCCAAAGGAAGCAGTTGAATCATTCGCGTGTACGCAGCCCGGCCGTCGTTGGGCAAGAGGTCATAGCAGATCGAATGTCCGAAACGTTCCCCAAGAACGGCGAAGAACTCTTGGAGGAGTCTTGACGCTGAGCTGGATGTACAATCGACGTAGATTCCACTATGTCAATTAATGAGATCCAAGAAGCGACGCGATGCGAATTGGATTGGCGAATGTAAATTAGAATTCGGGCTTCGTCGCAAGAGTCTGAATTCTCGATGGGGAACTTCCCCGAGTGTCTCGGTTCTGCTCCGTATACCGCAATTTCGTCGGGAATCATGACCGCACTCTATCCGCACGATCGATGTACATTCTCGGATGCTGTCGATGAGCTAGGCTTGAGTCCGTCGACTTTCTTCCGCGGCAGTACGAATCGCGACTTATCCGAAGGATCACTGTGCGCACAGGGCGTCCATCTTCGACGCAGGCAGCTGCTGACATCGTACCTGGAGCCCCCCGAGGCATGGCGATGACCGAACCGACCCGTGTATGAGGACCGCTCAATCCACCCGGCCATCCGTCGGCGTCGGTCGAGAGCAGTCGATCCCAACTATCGCTTAAATTCACACATTGAAACCTCGATTCGGTATATCAATTTCCGGTATAACCAGACTCGATGACATGAGATATTTCGGTTGGGGATTCTACTCGCGGAATCACGGGAAACCCGGACATCAGAAATTTTCTTCACCTTCCTCCGAAGATCTCTCATGAAGCTCGACTGTATATCTATCGATTGCATCGGAATCCACTCCTCAAACCCTTAGATTGAAGCCTCTGTTGCTCATGACGAGCCTGTCCCTACACAGCGGTATTCGCCTACGATTTCGATGGGGAACATGTGGCGAGGCCGGCGGAAAGTCCAGTTTCCAAATGGACATATGCGCAGACAGATGGATGCGTGCTTCGTTGGGTCGATCGCGAAACTGATGAGTGGAGCCATGACTAGAGCTAGGACTTCCGGGCGAAGATCTGGACATGCCTGAAAATGCCTTCTCGCGCTTGATTTCTGTCTTCTTGCCTATTCTCCGTACTCGATAGGCGATTTGCCTATTTTGCCGTACTACCTCCCTCGAATTCATTTTAAGCTGCTTCCAGTATAGACTCGCTAGTCCGGCCCATGATTAGTTGGAGTCCAGGGAATTACTCAGGCAGTGGGAACCATCGGTCTGTAAGCGACTGGCCGATTAAATGTCTCTATATGTTGATCCCCTCGGAGGTCCCATCGAAAATTTATGCCTCTCCGTCTTGAGGCTTCTTTTCCCGATTGACAAAACTCCGCGAGACTGCAGCGAGAGAGAGACTAGGTACTTCTCATTGAGACGAAGTCAATACCGATGGAAGATTGTTCCGATTCTTCCCGTGCGCGCTTCTACTGGTTTTCACTTCAGCTGATATCCAGTCGAATCACCATGGTCCCCAGTGTTGCAGGGTCTCTGAAGGAAGCGACGACGGTAACGCTTGAAAAAAGAAATTCGACCTGGGGAGCTTCAGCTTTTCATGCATCTTAACCTCGGGATATCGATTTGTTGCATGCTAGATACTCGGAGAAATATTTGTCCAGAGATTTGGGGGGTCTATCGAGGCTTTCTTCTCCTTCTTTGGGACCGATTTTGCCGTTTGCGGATGCCTATTCCGCGAGACTTTAGTGTCCGAAAGTCCTGGCTCTCGCCATGACGCACAACTTACACCCACCGATCGGTATACGTCAATGTTGCCGGCTTTGACAGCTGGGATGAGGCATTTCACTCGCGAAGATTCCATCACCGTCACTTCAGAGATTCCGGATACAGCTTCCGCGGTAGCACGGGAGCACCACAGAAGGGTTCTCCAAAAGGATTCACCGTGCTGATACCGCGTGGCCGACAAATAATCAGGTACCCGAATTCTTCCAACAGCAATGGATCAATGCGACTCTCACCGTCCCAGGAGCTGAACACCCTTGCGGGACTTATGCTCGCCAGGCCCATAGAACAACAAATATTCCGTCATCGATTTCGGTGCGCTCGCTGAAGAAAGATCTGATAGGAGGCCTAGATTCTCCAAGATGTGATGCTTCTCCACCACGAATATCCGAGAAGCCAGACAATGTTCGAGAGATTTGCGAAATCCACGGTCGGCCGAACACATTTGGTGCGCTGTGAATCAGCACGCAGTTTCTCGTCTTCTGCTCAAAACTTCGCGAGAGCAGTCTTTGTATTCAGAGCTGTGGAGCGGATACGATTGATCATTTTAATGATCTCGAGGTGCATCTATCCGAGCCGTCAAACATCCGGATGGCCGACGCTGTTTCCTCGCTTGAAGGGGGTGGGGAGTGCATCCCTTAGCAAGGCGGGGAAAGCATCGCTCAGTGAGGCGGGGGGTTTGTGGTATCCATCTACCGGCGAGAGCTAGGAGATATGTTTAGGTGGTCCAGCGTGCATCCTCAACACTGCGAGCGGGCATTGTTTAAATCTCATCAGTTCTCCGCCACTGTTTTCCCCTCCCGCTGCCCAATCCATTCCCCTTCGTTCTCCTATTACGCATGCAGGACAAGTCGATAAGGAATGGTATCGTATAGGGTATCGGTGAGTAAATCTTGAGGAATGCTGACACTAAAAGAAAAAGACCGAGATTGAAACAGTTTTCTTGCGAGTTTACTTCTGCTTCTCATGTTGTTCCTTTCACTTCAGTCAGTCAACTCCTTAATCACGGCTCAAGCGTCCTCCAAAATTCTACATCTTATCTGCTCCGTTCCTCTCGGAATCTTCTCGTTCCTCGAGGTTGCCTCATTCTTTTCGTGATTTCACTCGGAAAAGATAGTCATGTCGGCTTTGTCGAATCGGCGCTCAAGAACAATAGTAAATTGACAGGTCGAGATTCGCGATCCTCCAATGGTCCGATACATATGGGATCGTAGCGAAATTCTCGATTTTTTATTCCCTTTCGCGCGTGCTGTCGTGATGAGGGAACATGGCCACATGATCAGAGACTTTTGCCGTTGCTCTCATTTTGTTTTTGCTTTCATTTGTGTTGTTGCTAGTACTGCTGCTGCAGTTGTCGTCTTTGTCTTCGATCATACGGTGACCGCACAGCTATCCCTAAACACTTCCTCTTTATACATGGTGGACTCGGGCGCTTGATGTCTCTTTGTCTCGCTCATCGATCTCCGTATCATAATAATCGCTCATCATTCGCTTGCATTTCCATCATCATCGTCATCACCTCGAATGATCTCTCAACCTTCCAGTTGCACCATCTTATAGCGTTCTAAACAGCTACCTAAAGACTCCCCCACACCATGGTGGAAAGAAGACAAAAGACGTTCGTTTCTATTTATATTAATATTTACAGCATTCTCTTCTCGGAGCGATGAGGAGAGACCCTAGTGTACCCGCTTACTTCTTCAGAAGGAGAGAGAAAAAAGACAACAAAATGACAATGACACTGCAATGTGTATGTGTATGCGTTTCTTTCTTTTTTCGATTACATGGCTGCTGTAAGCCAGCTGCAACACCAACAAGGTTGCCGCAACCGATTGCCAACAGCTGCGACGACGGTAGTCTCCGCAGATCGACCTTCATGTGATTCTTCTGCCGCCACGGCTCAGAGTGATGTCGCACTCCTCCCGCTTGCGAGACCCCGCGACGTTTCGGGAGCGCAGCCAAGGTCGGAGACGCCTCCATTGAGTGATAGCCTTTACGATATTTTCGAATTCACCCCGCCTTCAACCCAAGGTCCCTGTCGAGCGTAGACTGCTCATCCCGAAGGACGACAACTGAAACACGCTCGAGGTCCGAAGGTTAGGCAGAGAACTTTCCTCCAACAAGAATAATGGGTTTCGAGAGAATCCCTGAATTTCAATTCAAGTCGAGTGTCCCTTGGACCTCACACTGATTCATCATGACGCAATCTGTGCCAGCTTGATACAGAGGGGCTGAATTTTGTCTACATCGACCCCGAGGGAGTTCGCCTACATGGCTTGCCCCGGTGGTGATCCAAAATAACCGGAGTTGGATTTCAATAACCCGAACCCGAGAATGTTTCTTCTTATCAGTATCCGGAATTATTCCAAAAATCATCATAAATATAAACTAGAGGTTTTTGCTAAACCAGTGCTGGTGGAAACTACTCTTGTCGGATAATTCTCGAGCTAATCACTGCCCCAATGAATGAACGTCCTCCATCTGAACGCGACTTGTTGGAAAGAAGATCGCAAAGTCCAACATCATCCACGCATATCCCAAAATAATCCCCGTATTTCTACACTCATTCACAAAAGAAGATCCGCAACAAGATTCATGGTGAGAATCGCCATATGAACGATCGAATCCAAAAAAAATACTCGAAGGAGTCCGAGACGAATATTGCTCCGTGAAAGCTGAATATATCGGAGATCCGACTACTACACATCGAAATTTCGAGGGCGACTCTCAAACTCCGCCACGACTTCTGCGGACTTCACCAAGATTTACTGATCGAATTCTCACCGAAAGAGTCTTTGATCCCGGAAAGCAACGCAGGTCGTTGTTCGAAACGGGCGGCTGTTTTGGCAAGACTAGGAAGAACATGGAGGAATCTGGGACGGCCCACTCTCACTTCGGCGAACAATGGAGTAAGTGTGAATTTCCAAGGTTTGGTTTGTGATTCGAGTCGTCGGACGAGGTCAGTCGCACGTCCGACTTCGCTCATTGGTTTTGGTTGCTCGTTTTGTCACAGATTGCTGTCTTCTTTGTCTACATCCTGATCGCCATGATCATGGTTAACGGTCGTCGTGATACTCAATCAGCGGTACAGTTCAACATTCCGATCGATTTTCCACTAGTTCCCCCGGTTCATGTTGTTGTCGTCGTTGATGAAGGGAGAGCTACAGTGTCACTCTTGATAGTGAACCCCCGAAAAAAAGACTGTTATTGACTCGTTTATCCTCGAAGTTTGCCTGCATCTCTTTTCGTTAACTATCTAAAGTTTTCCAGCAACTACGTTGGAGTGGCCGGCGTCACTATAGCGGAAGCTCTGCCGCCATGTTTTCCTGGTTTGAGGTACTCCTCGCTGGCCAGGGCTATCACATCGATTCTCTCTTCCTTATGGTATTGCAAACATCTGCGAAACGGAGAGTACGACGTTAGACGAAGATTCACAGCGAATCTGGATTCGGGTATGCGAAGATTCGCTTAGTATAATTGAGTGCACGACCCGGAAACGTGTAAAAGGATTCGACGCATTACTCACTTCCTAATAAACTGTTTTGCCTCGGGCGACACTGCAGGTTTGGCTGGAAACTCGACATCAGTGGCCTTAAGAATCGTGTTCTCTTCTAATATCGTCGCCTGGCTTTGGTTGTGGCCGAACGGCTTCTTTCCGTAAAGACATTGATAAAATATGACCCCGACCGACCATACATCAACTTTTGAACTTATTTTCGGAGGGTTCTTCCCGACGATGAAGCACTCAGGTGGAAGGTACCAATACGTTCCTGAAATATTCAAGGTCGTGATTGAACAAACCCGGCAATCCCGGACATCTTTAGGAGGACCGAGAATTGACGTCCGATAAAGAATGACAAGACTCACCTGCGCCTTGTGATGTGAGATCCATTCCGTATTCGGGGGAGTAGTTATCGTCATCCATGATCTTGCTTAGTCCGAAATCGGTAATTTTAATCTCGCCCGATAAACACCCGCTCCCCAGGAGTATGTTTCCGGGTTTCAGGTCATAGTGGATGATCGGTGGTTTGATTTCATTCAGGTATTTTAGCGCATGCACCACCTGTGAAGAATGAAATACCAATGAAGTTCAAGGCTCACGATTCCTGACTAGGATTGCGTCTTGGACGATTACACTTCGGTCAGTTCAGGACCGTGGCCGGGTCTTGATCACGTACCTGCATGACGATACACCTCGCTTCCCGCTCGGGTATACTTTTGTGCTGCTTCAGATAGAAGTCGAGGTCGTGACCATCGCAGTACTCAAGCACCGTACAGAAGCTGTTCGGGTCAATTTCGAATACGTCGTAGAGTTTCACGACCCGCGGATGATCGAGGCTTTTGTGAATGTTGTACTCTCGCAGGGCATGTTTGATATAGTTCGCTTTCTTGTCGTCCTTCCAATCTTTGTTAAGTTGATGTATTTTACAGGCAACGTATCGCTGATCTTTCAAATCGAAGGCTTTGTGAACTTCGCTAAAACCGCCTTTCCCCAACAGTATAAGAAGTAAATATCGATCGTTCAGTACGGCGTGGTTATTGAATCTTGAAGCGTCTTCGTTGTGAATTCGTTTCAACTCCCGAATGTGAAGGTTCCGTTCACGTTCGAGCTTCTCCAGCTCTAACTGAAGGTCACTATCTTCTTTCTTGAGCGTCTGACCTCGCAGTTTAAGTATTTCCTCTTGTTCGTAGTACTCGTACCACGTCAACCGCGAGGTGTCTTTCGGCGACTCCGGCTTGACGAACTCTCCACCTCCCGAGGTGGATCCGTTCGCCTGTTGGGTCACGGCGGCGACAGTCTTGCCGCCTTGGTTTTTGGCCGCCTGCGCGGGTCCGACCGGTTTCCGTTTGGCGAGCAGTTTCCGTTGCCGTTCGATCTCTTCCCGTTCGGACGCAACTTGCTCCTGTTTCTTCAGCAGCTCCGTAAAGGCATGACCGTCAACCTGCAGCGAGAGAGATACGCAGCCTGAGCATCGCTACGAGCCGAGGGTACGGAACGTACACGAGGAATAACGAAGTCGTCGGATACGGACCGAGGATTCGATGCACGATAAGTGTCCGTATGTGTCGTCATGCGATAATTACCCAGTTCTCCACAAAGCTAGCTCCCTGTCTTTGCGTTACAAATTGTCCGAGCCTCAAACGATTCTGCATGCATTTCTGCCGGCACTGCTTCTTCTCCATCGCCGATTTTTCAATGAGCAGCTGCTTTGTGACATCGATGCACTTGGTCAATTGCTCTTTGCTCTTCTCCAGATTCTGCAAGAGAAAGATGGGATTCAAATCGAGAAGAACCTCTCGATCCTGAAATTACGTGTGACCTCTCCGTACAGGAGTCATGATCGTGACTTCCCGAGTGGAAAATTTCCCCGCCCATCCCGGCTTCCGAAGCGGGCTCCTGAGTCGGCAGCTTCGTGGAGAGGTGCGAATCGATTTACGGGAGTTCGGGCTCGTCTGGTCAGCCAAGAGACTACTTGTGGAAAGAATCTCCCGTCTCCGAAAAGAATAGCGGCTCGGTGCCATCGAGAGCTGGCAAAGTATTACCTCCTTTATGAGAGAACCGCGTCAACGGTAGCACCGGCAGACACCACCGCTGTTGCAGCAGCAGCAGCAGCAGCGGCAACAACAACAAGCAAAGAGGAGGTCATCGATGTTACGAGAAGAGTGGTAACCCATAGAAAGTTAGAGCTCAAAAGCAACGCCCTGACGACACCCTGATCTTGAGGCTGTCTTCTCGAACGACTCCTACCACCATCAGCAGCAGGGCTGATGAGCGCGATTTCCATTAGTTTCGTTCATTCGAGGGATGACGCCGGAAGAGACCGCAATACTCTCACCAGGATTGGAGCCGGAAATAATAAGTTTCCAATAAAAAGCATAATAAGCATCATCTCAAAGAGAAATAAAATGTAGAGCTTACCTTTTGGTGCGTAGAAATTTGTCTACGTAATTCGTCAGAGCCCCTCTGTAGTTCTTCGATTTTTATGTCCCGTTGCTCCAGGTCATGGGTGCTCTTCGTTTCAAGAGTTGCTATTTGATCACCCGAAAGGTCCGTCTGGGCTGCTTTGCTTGCACAACGCGGAGGTCCATTCCCCATAGGGGGGGCCATGAGCAACGAGTCGTTACTGCCGCTCCCCATGTAGGGTATTGGTGACTTGGACCCGGAACCGCCGTATCTGGAAAGCGAGGTGCTGTTGGTGAGAGAGATACTCAGCGTTGCTCGGTCGCTCTGTCGGTCTGTCGCTCGTGGCCGTTTCGGTCGCCGTCTGCACCGGGCTGCCCCGGAGAGACGTCACACCGACCGCCTGTCCGTCCGCTCGCTGGCTTTACCCACTGGGGAGGGAACACGCGAAGAGAAGCAGAAGGCTATGCCCGCCTCGCCCCCCCCCCCCCCCCTCCCTCCCCTCTCAACCCGCCCCCTTCGCCCACGACTGCTTGTTCTAAGGCGGAGAAGGGCGATGCCCCCGAGCACGGCTTCTGCGCCTACGCGGCTGATGTCCTCCTCGGTTGGCATGCCCCGCGAACGGAAGCAGTAATACTTTGAGGAGAGTCTTTTCCGCAACAATATTCGCTCTGCTCGAGCTGTCCACGTAACCCCAGAATCCCGTGGCTTGAGTCAGTTCTCTTGCTCAATTTCCTCGCCAGAGACGTGGAAGCCGACCGAGCATGGTAGACAGAGGGTGGAACTTATTCAGCCGATTGAATAGTTGGGGGTCGCTTCGGTTCGCGGAAAATCGTGTCATTGCAACGTCTAAGTATGCGTCAATAGATGAAAACAAGGTGGATGCGGATTGCTTCGGCATGGAGAAGCTATCCCCTTTTGGAGCACTTTTCGGAACCCCCTTTTGAAGCCCTCCCCTCCATCGGGGAAGAATAAATTCCCGGAGATCGTGAGTCGATTACGCACTCGAATTTCAGCGCAGTGGATAGTTGCCATGGGCTAGGGAGCTCCTTGCGCAAGATAATTCCTTGCGCAGCCTTCTGACGCCGCGCCGGCTCAAACTTCGTAGTAAACTGGCATTCGGAGTTCCCTGAAGTAATGGCGACCACGCCGGTCCCAGGGGCTCCCCCCAGGAGCGGGGCAAAAGAGGATATGGGTTTAGTGGGTATTTACCTCAAGGTACGAGTCCCACACTGCCCAGTCCCGAGTGTGTCGAGATCTCCTCGGGCTGGTGCGTGCGTAAATGCATTTCCCCACACCTCGATAATAAAAAAAATGCGCAAGATAATTCCTGATGGTAAGGATAACAACATATCCAGATACAGTCAGAGGAGAGAATATCCCCGGCATTTGGAATTAATCGGGGACGAGGGCTTGATTGAGATCCTGGCGGCCCCGAGGAATTCCCCGTCAGGGTGGCATCATCCTCCGCAAGCTCAAGACCGCGTCCCCCCACGACGATATGTGTCATGCATTGGATGCGATCCGCGAGCTCCGAAGTCTCTTCCCGATCGAATGCCGGAGGGTCGCAGTCTGGTTGGGACTCTCCTCTCGGAACATCATCGCCACACATGTAGTGGGTAGATTTGTGAATACGCCTCTGAGAGGAAACGGGAAGGAGCGAAAACCACCGAGAGTGGATCCGTTTCCACTCCGGATCGAGGCTACGCCCAGAATGAGAGCGAATGGAGCATCCTCGGAAGTTCGCCGCCCGCAGCTAGCCATGATGGGAGAAGCAGCACATTGGTCATAGGGTGGGGCGACACTCAGGAAACTCTGATTCACGAAAAATAATTCCGCCTCCAGAGATCGGAATCGGTCGCAATTCCTCAGAGAGGCGACGATCGCGGTCAAGGAGCCGCCGAGAAGGACGGCAAGCGACTTCAACCGCGGGTAACGGGAGGCAACCCCGGAAGGGATGCTTGTGCACGCCTGCGGACTCGAGTGCCTCTCGTCAGTAAGATCCCCGCACTTTTCTACAGTGTCAGATCGACAGAAGATCAGCCGACGGAGCTGGCATAGGTGAAGATCCGCAAACGCTTAGCGTACGGCTGAGCTGAACACTGGGATGCGGACCGCTCCCTTTTCGGAACAGCAGGGTCTCGTGCTCCGATGAGCAATGTCTTTGAGGCGACCGCAGCGGAGCTCATTTCCCAGAGAAGATCCTGAGCCTACTACCGTAAGAGGAGAAAAAATGAAGCGGAGCCAGCGGAGTCTCCCAATCGCAGGAATACGGAACGACTCGCTCCAGATTCAATGGAGAGAAGATGATCGAGGAAACTCGAACATCGGGACATGCAGGGCACGACTCCCACAAAGTTCACCGCAACCATCGGCACCGAACCCTAGGTGAGAGGTCCGTCGGCACTAGGTTTATCTGTGTCGAAGGTAAATGACTGAGGTGGGCGAGTCGCGGTGGCCGTCGGTCGTGACATTGTGTTATTTTTTTCCGGACCAGACCGGTGGAATCGCGTCCTTTGACTCGCGCCCGCCAAAGCCTCGAAGTTCTGTGGTGTAGACCCGTCGTCTGGAGACGACGACGGCGGATCAATTCACCCAGAGAATCCTCCCTCATCGTCCGCTTTGGAAAGAACAGTTCGGAACAACACAGCCACACCGACAGCACTGGCACCACGCACTAGAACGGACCCACAAGTGACGCGAGCGTCCGTCGCGGCCGCCACCGTCAACGCTCATAGAAGATCAACGACTCGAATTGGGCAGAATTCGCAGCAGTTTGACTCGACTGTCTCGAGACCGATTCCGTCTCCCATCCCGTAGAGCGTGGAAAGCCAAGGCGTTTAAGCTCGTCATGGACCATAGCGATAGTTTCGGGTTTAAATAGTCACCGCAACACGTGTGTTCCAACGGTGTCTCTTTAAACGCACTGTAGGATAAACGCCGTCGGATTCTCGCCTTGGCTGCCGTCACGTGTGTTCAGGGGTTTAAAAATGGCTAACACTGGCGTATTTCCGAAAAGTTCGATTCCGCTCGCCGAGCTCCGAATTTTAGGAGATTCCTCCAACTTTCCAATCTGAGGATGGGACCCGATCTTCCGCATATTCGTGCGATATTCATGGTCCCGACCCACTGATCAGAACATCGGACGACGCGTCGACAGGCGACGTAGTTCAGGAAGCGTGCTCTGTCGGCGTGAAATGACCGAAACGAAACGGTACGCGCGGACCTTGCTAAAATGTCGCTAATTGACTAAGTCAAAGGGCTCGCATGTGAACTCGCTCGCTGGGCAGGATCCCCCGCCTCCTCCCCGTAGGACATCCCCGAGTCGATCCCCGGCAAACAGACATCGGTACCATTCGAAAGGTTTACGCTCAGAAGTGGAAATTTCGTCGGTTCACAAGCGACGGTACGCAGTGGCGGGCGACAAAAGACTGACGTACAGTTCACCCGTGCGCCACGATATTCAATGAAAACAAGCTCTAAGGCGCAGCACCGAGTAGTCCGTCCTCCTTAACACTGGCACCGTGACGGCAGATATAGTAACATCATCACAAGAGCTCGGCAACTCATTGCGGCGGCGGCGGCGAAAACAGGAGTTCACGAGTCTCACAAATGGAAGAACGAGCGACAGTGCGTTCGGCTGGGCATCAACAAACTGCAACGCTTGGACTTGCATAAGCATCGACGCTGTTGTCGACGTCGTCGTTGCAGTTCCGATCGGGAACCGTAGCATGAAACAGCGGGATAAGAAGTGGCGCCGGAGACGGTCTTCCCCAGTCGGTCTCGGGACACGGGAAACCGATTTGGTGATGGCAGATTTTGAAGGCATGACCGACTAAGCGACCCTCCGACCGACCGACCGACCGACCGACCGACCGTCTGACTGACTGACTGACTGACTGACTGACTATCTGTCAGTCGGGCCCGAGGGCATTGGCTGGAATCGACTGAAATTTCTCAAGTGTGGAGAGCATCTTCGAAATTCAATTGGGACGAATCGGTCGAATTGGGAGAGGATCGCACATGCTCGTATTTCACTTGAATAGATGTCATGATCGTATATATATATATATATATGTACATGGAGATAAAAACATGGATCGCGTTCGGTTGAACGTAAGCGAACGCCGTCCGGGCGAATAATAACTCATACAGGTCGTAGCCGTCCACTTACCGTCCTGGGCTGTGTTGAGCTTGATTTTTCATGAAGTATTCTGATATCTTCTTGTTGTCCTGCTGCTGTAGTGGAGTCGGCTGGGATTGTGCGGCCGAATTACTGCTATTGGCCAACGACAGGTTCCTCTTAGGTGTCGGGTCTTGCTGTGGCGGATCTTTACGTTTTCGCTTCCGTTCTTGCGGAGGGGTTCGCATCACCTGCACTTCGCCATCGGACGGCTGAGATCCCACGGACGTCGAACTGAGGTTGGAGTCCTGATTGCTTGTTTGAGGATTGAAACTAGCATTTCCCGGGAGGCTGGGAAACCTAGTGCCGAGGAATCGAGCCTCCAGCAGCTCCTGTTTTCGGGGGTTCAACAGAGGATTGAGGTTATCCATTGTGGCCCCGCTACGCAACGAGAACGCTCATCTTGCACCGAGCTTTTAGATGCTTCTGTCGTCCGTCCGTCGGTCGGTCGGTAGCCCGTTCGTTCGTTTGTCCGGCCGGAGCCTTTTGAACGGAGGCTTGACGTTGTCGACGACTTGCAAAATGGAGATCTCCCAGCTCGAGAACAAACAGAGATCAACCGTCGATGTACACTTTGTCTGCGGCGTTTTTTTTCTTCTCAATACAGATCGCTGCTTGCTTTCAGCAGCAGCACCACCAGCAGCAGCCGGAGCAACAACACCAATCAGTGGCTGCTGTAGTTCGAGCCACAACAGCAGAACCAAATGAAGCCAGCTCGTGGTCGGCCCCCTGAGTTTCCAGCCAGCCGGAAACACGTCGGCCTGCTAGAGGCAAGCCTGTAGCTTCGTTCGGGAGCCACAGCTCCCCACCACCTACAGCACTAGTTCTTCAAAAAGCCTCAACAAATAGGCCTACCAATGGCCAGCCGACGAATCTTCCACCAGCACTCTATACACACACCGCACACACACACACGACAGACAGACGGACGGACTCACTCGTAGTAGAAGACACTAACACCACACACCGACGACAACGACGACGACGACGATGAAAATACACAACACAACAGCAGCGGCCGAGGCACAGGGTTGTTTACTCCGACCGATAAGGTGCCACAATGGCCGCTGCGAGCGAACGGCTCCGCGGACTTCTATGGGACGACGGAACACCTCAGACGGGTCTTCAGACGCTGTTGAGAGGGAGTGAGCCTCCGATTCTTCCCCGACACGGTTGGGAAAACGCCGAGGTCCGAGATGGGTTCTGGTAGGCTCTAACGCACAATGGATACATCGGTCGGTAGGAGCGATAACCGACGGAACGAGTGGGTTGTTCGAGGCCTCGGTGGTGGTTCGATCCCCGGTTCGTGGTTCGGAGCTTCTGCTTTGATTTTGTAGCGCCAAAATGAAAGCCTAAGAAAATGCGACCGATCCACCGCAACTGCACCGGGGCCAGCAAGATCTCTCGAGAGACGTTCGAGAAACGGCCAATCGGCACTCAAACACCTGTTCGGACACCAAATGTATCGAGTCGAGGGCTCAGCTACCGGCTGGCTGGAATGAGATTTCGGCTCAACGCAGGAAAATGTACGAAACGAACAACCCTATTGGTGCCGTTTGCTGCGGCAGGACGGAGCTCTGGCGAGGCTGGCGGCGAGGAGAGGCTACGGAATGCGTACGGGAAGTGCGTACATCTCGATACTGCAAGTGTCGCCAGCTCACCCTGTATTGGAGGCATTCACTCTCTTGGCTTCTTTCTCGCCAGCGAGGGTTTCTCTCCGGTCGCTTCGGGGGTCCAGACGGGGGGAAACCGGTGTTTGAATCCCTTCTTTCAAGCTTTTCGAATCATCGCCCATCACCGGGGCAGAGTTGAATAGAGAAGTGAGGAACTTCGCAGGCTGTTCGACTCCATATTATGTACAATAGATGTTGGCTTCTGCCGAGTCCGCAGGGGTCGGAAGGAAGTTCCTCACTGGTCGTTCCAGGGGTCGACTAACGTCACGTCCGTTCACGTGGAATCGATCTCATGAGTGAGATGCCGACGATTGCCTCGAATGAAAACACTTCGGAGATCGGGTGTTTCAGAATGCCTGCTCCGAAAGCTTCGATCTCGCCGAAGATTGAAAGTCGGGAATGCTAGTCAGAGATGAGGCTCGGGAAAGAGTTATCGGTAATCGATGGTTCACCTCCTATCCGATTCATCCTTAATGTGAGTGAGTAAGAAGGATTGAAAGCGGGGTTGGCCGCATATTTCTTCGAAGACGCATTGGAAGAAGCATCTTATTCTCCGGAACGGGTGCAACTCATATCGGATGAGGGTTGAACTCTCTCGATCCCCCGAATTCTGACGATCCTTCGCTCTCTCCTAGAGACGGACATTCTCGACTCGAATGGAACCTACCCCCGTATCAACCTCCAGCGACCATGTACTCGAATTATCGCGTATCAGCCCGATCGGGCAGTGCCCAGAAAGGATAACAGCTGCTTCTCGGCACCCAGGAACGTCGGAGAAATTTTCGAAGCTATGCTCGCTTGCAGGAGCATCCTCCACAGTCGCCAGTCGCCTCGGTCTGACCGGAAATCCTCGTAACTACATCTTACTATAGAACAGTCGGCTAAGACCTTTTTCTTGCAGATATTAAGGCAGGCCCGTTAGTCGATATGCTCATGAGATGAGTTCGGGGATCGGGGACGGACCTCACATCAAATGCTTCCGTTCCGCCGATTATATTCGACCAGGGGTGAAATCGCCTGATCTCACATGAGTCCGAATCGAACTTAAGAGCTGCTCCGGAAACATTGTCCATGAACCCGCGGAAGATAATATCCGACATTCTGACCGATTCTTCCGCTGCTCATTTCGGGAGACCGGCCGCTCTAAGGACCTGAGTGAGGGCTCCGAGCAAGAAATCTCTGTCTCCACGTAGCATGCGACGGATGAGCTCTCCACGGGTCGAGGGATGACGGCGACGATTCTCCACCTCCTGCCTATCTCGCACCCGATGGATCATTGGGAAGACCCTGGAAAAGTTCGGATATTCGCCTTAATTCCTGACTGACAAAGACACGGTGGGTGAATCTACAGTATTCACTTTACGGGAATCAAGCTCGTCTAGGATAAGTTTTAGCGAGGGGTTCGGAGGTGTGAACTCTCGACTCCGGCTTTCACAGCGAGCGATCCCTCGCAGTCTCTTTTTCCAGTCCGCGGAATATCCTGTGAGGTCGAGTAGATCGGTTGGGGATAACTGCCGTCCGACTCCTGCATTCGCGGTGAATTTGACGGTTTTCGAGCGAGAGGTGCGCCTTCATTGGACGGTCTCGCTAATGACTGTAGGTTTCCGCACAGATGGGCATGTCCGTATTCGTTTCACCTTCAACTTTTGTGCGCGACGGCATCCTGAATGTCTCGATTTCCTACCGCGCGGGGAATCCCCAAACAGAAGCGCGGTCGTAATTATTTCCCTCCCCGTTCCGTCTCAAACTCCCACGTGTCTGCTATCTCCGATACAGAGGATCAAAGGATATTCGCGATCCGGCCCTCTTGACTCCGCGCAGAGCGAATAGACTTGCGGAGCCTGGCGACTGCGAATACCTCCGAGGTAGGGACTAGCCCCTCGGTGTTCGGATGTGGAGGTTGAGGCGTGATCCTGATATTTGAGCAAATAGTTTCGCGGCTAAGCTTCATCCCTCAGAGCAGCAATGCTTTTCTGACTTGGAGCGCGCTCGTTCCGGTGAGCTCCAATGTACCCGCCTTGCATGACCGATTCTTCCAGATCGAGTTGCTCCACAGATAACCGTGATAGAGCTCCCAGAGAGTCTGATCAGGCAGACAAACGCCTTGCTACGACGTTGATCTCGTGGTGTACGGGAAGCTATGGACTCTGATTTGATTTCCCCTGCGGGGAGAGGCAAAATTTGGTTCCATCCGGGATCGAACCGGAGACCTTTTGCGTGTAAAGCAAACGTGATAACCACTACACTATGGAACCTTGCCTTCACATTGATCCCGAGCCGTAACCGATGATTTTCCCTTACTAGTGTGTAAACAGCTCGATGCTTCCCACATGATTGAAGGAATTTCCCCGAGGCAAATCTCCAAAACCAGTATCGGACGTTTCCTTGTTTGTCCTGCTTTGGTGGAATCCCATGGCGAGGTCAAGCGATCTGAATCAAAGCATCGAAAGGTCCTCGTTCGGGGCTAGGTATCGTCGCAGAGGTTCTCATGGGTGCCGCTAAGGCTCTCATCAATGGGGAATTTGTCCAGAAGCGGCGCGAAATCATTACGTTCCAGATGAGCGGCAGGAGAAGGCGGCTCGTTGGTCTAGGGGTATGATTCTCGCTTTGGGTGCGAGAGGTCCCGGGTTCAAATCCCGGACGAGCCCATTTTTTGCCGGGAAAATATCCCGGTCTATCCCATTTTGAATCCTCGATGGATCCCATAAAGTTTCGTCGCCAACTCGGAATGTTGTTCGATTCCAAAAGCTGGACTAGATCACCCACCATGCTCTGGGCAGTCACGTTCATCTCGGAGGGTTCAATGCTTCGGGCATGGGTGTATGGATGTGTTTTGACAGCGCGCTAAGATCTGAGCGGTTTTTGACAGCTGCCAGCGGAAGGGCTTGAGTGCTTGTGCTTGGCCACGGGCACCGTCACCGAAAGACGGCGACGCCGCTTGAGTAGTCTCTCCGAATGAGTCGCTCTTTCTAGGATCATTCATACTTCCTCAGTTGCTTGGATTGATCGGATCGATCCCCTTGTTTCTCTGAGAACGCATTAGACTCCGGGGTAGATGTACTACTCTGTAAGAGCACATATGAACCATGTGACTCGGTGGCGCAACGGTAGCGCGTCTGACTCCAGATCAGAAGGTTGCGTGTTCAAATCACGTCCGGGTCATCTTTTTGATTGTCTTTCGAGTGATGAAGCCTGGTCGTATCTCCGAGCTCGATAAAAGGCTCGTTCTTCAAAAGTCGCCTTAGAGTTTTCGGCCCCGTTTCCGTGGGAGAGGTAGCGATTGGAGGAATTATTCTACTCGCGAGTGAGCGCGGCCAGGTTGGAGCTCCCTTTCGTTGTCAAAGAGCAATAGGGAGGCCGGTCTCAGAAGGGCGGAAAACTTGCTCATTATGGCAGGCGATTTTCTCGGACATCGAAACGAGGCTCGGAATGTGCGGACATTGACTCCCGGATAAGGTATGACACATCGGGAATGATTTCTGAGTCCTGCTTATTTTATTAATATTTTCACCGCTGTCCATCGATGCACAAGTTCCTCGGTCGACGAATTCACAGCTCCACCCCGGAGGGTACCCAGGACCCAGGACGCTCGTGCCGTGCTCGAGGGTTCAGCAATTCGAGTCGCCGATTTCCAATCAGTCCCCGCTGATGATCAGCTCAAGTGCAAGCTCCGCTCGGAGTCTTCATCGCATCCTCCCAGACTTCGGAGAGTTCCGTGTTGCAAGAAGTCAGTAGTGGTCGTAAATCCACATTCCGGAAGTATTGGAGACGGTGACTGAAATTGACCCAGGGCTCAATCGAGGTCGGGAGAATTTTCGGATGCCCTCTCGACATCAAAAAATATTTCATTCCCTTACAAATTGGGGCCTTCGTGTGCGTTCATCGGGACCGGATAGAGTGCTTCGTAAACCCTATTCGGATCTTCGCCGTGGATGGCATAGGCGTTGATTTTTGAAACATTTGGCGGGAGATAGGAAACAGGAAGTTGAACTCGTCCCGTCCACGACTTATTGTCTTTGATGGCTTCATAGTGTAACGGCATTCCTTGCTGGAATCCATCCAATACAATGATATGAGCAGGAATGAATGAACGAATGTTTTGCCGAAGTCGATAATCTCGAGTCTGCCAACTTACTTTTATCGAGTTGCTCTGACCGTTGAGTAGCAAAGCGAGATAATGCCCGTGCCTAAGATGGAAGAATTATTACTTCGTAAGCCTCATGGCTTTTCTCAAAGCTTTCGGAATTGGCTTATAACAAGATGGTTCACTCACGGGCCGAATTCGAGCTCGAGATATTTCCCGAAGTCACCCAAGAAGAAGATCTCCGCAACTGGAAAACCCTCCTTGTAAGTGCCACATGATTGGGAAAAAAATTATTGAATATTTCATCGCCCATCAGGGCCACCCAAGGAGCTCACCTTCATAGTCCCAGAGGCCTGGAACATTACCCTTGGGTTCGGGGGGTGCAGGGGGCGAGTTGAAGAGCGGTCCGGTTATCGTGATGGGCAGCGTCCCATTCTGCTCTCGTCCGATTGAGATCCTGACCGGCCTGTGGTCTAGAGGTTGGGAGTCCCAAGTTGAGGAAACGTCAAATGAAATGCTGCAATCGGGGACTTCTATGAAGCAAGGCACAGAGGCGGCATGAGAGAGTCGGGGAGAAAGTTCTTCGCGTTGCACCGCTCGCCCTCGAGGGGGAACTCCGGAAAACTCTCCGGATCTGAGTGTTTGAACCTGATATCACATCCGTCACTGCGATTCTGTCAGGATCAGGGAGGAGAATTCCCCGTCACCACGAAGACGCCGGTCAAGTCGAGCTGGTGCCGAGAGTCTCGTTTGGTCGTGCAATTGCAGTCTACTGACTCACCATGATTTGCTTATCATGGCCCCCTTCTCCTCGAATTCTCTTCGCTCTCCATCCAGCTGGACACCGAATCAGAATTTCGACATAACACGAAACTTGTTGCCAACTTCTCAAGGGGAAAGTGGAACACTGGAAAAGTTGGCGCCACCTAGCGGATCCGACATTCTTTACGTGGCGCTACACAATTACGTCCCGACTGCGACTCGAACGCAGCGGGGAATGCCTGGCCGAATGGCGAGCAGCAGCGAGCGATTGTGCGATTGACCGTCTCAAATCTCGTTTTCCAGGGGTACTCTATCATTATCGACATGACATTGTCGTCGTCCTATTGTCCTCTTGAGGGCACTTATATTTTCACGAGGGGGTCCCGGGTCGACCTCCCGGTGGAACTGGATAAAAAATCACCTTTGCTCCGATGCTTGGATGAAAAAAGCTAACAGAGCCATCACGAGAATCGCTTCCATGTTGCAGATGTCACCTGGCTGATGAAGTCGCTCTGCGCTCACCCGCTACACTGATATCCACACGTTATATAAGCTCATTTGGAAGTGCAGTTGAAGCGGTCGCTGAAGAAATTGACGCAAATGAAGGAGAGAGGAGGTCGCGCTCGTTCGCGATCATATAGTGGAGTTTTCAAAGGCTTTGAAGACTTGGAAGGAGTAACAGATCTGGTATGGGCGGTGCGATGTGAGCGATGGCAAAACAAAAGATCACTAACCTCTTTTCTTCTGGGTTCATGGCATTGAATGGAGATCCGCAATGCGTCCAGGCTATGCGATGCGTGACGGTTCCGCTCGTCTGTACGTCGGTTTTACTTAGTTGCTCCTTCTGGAAGGGCAATCGGATCTCACACCCCTTTCATGAGGTTCGATCAATTGAATATTCTGCATTCGTCGGCATGGAAACTCTGTCTGATTGCTCCAAGCCCAAATATATTGGGCTTCTCGAGTCGATACCCGACTGCGCTGTCGTACCTTGGGGGACAATGGCTGAAATTCGACTTGCGGCATTCCTGCCGCCTGTCGAGAATGTTTTGGAGTACCTCTTTGCGAGGGACGGAGAGAGGGATCATTCTAAGCGAGAGCCTCTCACGAGCGGACTGTGGATTTCGGCTGCATTCATAGAGATCGCTACCCAGCTAGATCGAGCCCTCTGCCTTCCAGCCGACTGCGATACTACTTTTGAGTCTTCTCAATCAAAGACGATTCCAGCGGGAGAAAAAGGTCACGGGTGTCTCGATCAATGCCCAAGCTCCAGATCAAAAACGAGACGCACTTTGTCCGTGACGGAGTCCCTGCGTGGTGAGCATTGGTTGGCTAAATCCATGTCTCTATAGAATATCCATGAGTTGTATTCGTAAAATTACCCTCTCGTCTCTCGTGTTGTCGCGAGATGTTGGTCTATGCGCGTTATGCTATCTGCTTACGCGAGCCCTTTGCAGACCGTGTCGCAGACCCTCCCGAAATACTCGAGCTCCCAATGAGAAGACCTTCTATGTACGTATCTCTGTTCTAGTCTTTATTCAGATTCTACTTGTCACGAGGCTCCCGAAGATCAAATGTTTTTGAGGCTATCGAGTGTACATTAGCGAGTTTCCCTATTTTTCATCACGTTCATGGCGTCGATGCTTCCTTCCTCGCACCCCACCTTCCGAAGCGTGTTGACATATTTAACATCGACCATCAAAATTATATTTATATTACTCACGTATCAATGAAATTCCAAAAAAAGACTCATTCTCCGTTGCGAGTAGATCTCGAACAGAATTTCCCCGCTATGTACAAGGATCGAATTCTCCGTCAGCGGTCCCAGACGTACGTATCTGTACGAACCGTACCCGAACTACGGTGTTAAACGAAATTGCATCTCTCACATTCGTGGAATCCAGGGGGATCGGGTCGTTGGGATACATGAAAAGTAGCTGGCAGTACTGAGTTTAGATGACTTGGATCAGTAATCGTCGAGAAGGGACATTCTTGATTTGTTACATATTGGGGTCTCCGTCGAGATGAACGTCCAACTTTCGTAAGCGGGCGTTCACCGAACGGAAGCAGCATGAGAAAAACAAATCTGAGATCGGAGAGCGCACATAATTAGACGCTCGGGTTATGCGCGAGCTACTCGACAGTGCGACGGAAAATATCCAACGTTTCACGATTCCCTCGGCCTTCGCTGTGAGACAAATCCCGTCTTGTTTATAAATTATTATCAATAATATCACAACATTTGTTTTGATCTGTAGTGACTTCGGGTAATCTCAACCTCCTGCTCGACGCTATTCGTGAATCGGGAATTCCTCGATCACTTTATGAAGGGATTTTATCTCTCTCTCTCTCTCTGAGAAAATCCGGTCCGAGTCCGGAATGTCTGACTTGTTCCCAGAGCACGAATCGATGGAGGTCGAGAATGAGGTTGCTTCGATTAGGGAATATATTAGGTTCTATTATACAGATGAGTACTTCCCGACTACATATGGCCTAGAATATTGTCTCTTCTGTTGTCGTGGAGACTTCTAAGGAGTGGTGTCACCAGGACCATCCTGATAACGACGGTGTCGTTCTGCTGTTACTCGGGCTTCAGTTCATCGCATACCCTGGTTTGGTTTAGCTGCAATTTTGGCACCAAGTTGTTGTTCGTTGTTCCTTCTGTTGATTTGAAATTCGAGGGCATCCTCCTGGGCGGTCTCGAAAACTACGGAGGGGGATAAATTGGGGACTTGGTGTACATAGGGCCTCTCGAGCACAGGAGATGTCGTAGGAAGTACAGTAAACCCCACTGGAATCTGAAGTAGCAGATCACGTCGAGGAAGATCAGCAATAGGACCGAGAGCAATAACGTGGCCGCGACGATCAACGGCATCGTGACCGCGAAGTTGGGCAGTTCCACCGGATCCGGATCGGGATAGGCTCCGATGATTCCGTCTCCTCTCGCTGTCTGGAACGTGAACTCGGCTGGATGGCTGTAGCCGAGTTCGTTGTAAGCCTCGACGAGAACCCGATAGTAGGTCTCGGGCTTGAGGTTCGTAAGCTCGACGCCGATCACGTTTGTCCACGTGTCCAAGGTGATCTCTCGCGCTCTGCTCGAATACGACTTACGGAACTCAGAGGGTCCATACTTCTCTACGGGGAAATAGGTCACTCGGAAGTACTTGATACTCTTGCCGTTCGATAGCGGCATTCCCCACTGAAGGTCATACCGGGTCGGGTAGACGCTGTAATTGGCTCTGGTGAGGATGATTGGCGAGTCGGGCACGCTTTCCTCCCGAGTGAACACCGGCAGAATTTCCGACGACGGACCTTCGCCGACCTGCGAGCGAGCGCTAAACTTGAAGTTGTACTTCGTACGAGGTAACAGCCTATCAATGGTAACGGGTTTGCTCATCACTTCTCCTTGTTTCTTGTCGAAAGCGATCGATTCGTCGGTGCCTTCCATCCACCAACGGATAATGTACTCAATGATGGGCATGCCTCCATCGTCGACGGGATGAATGAATTCTAGCGTCACGGTCGTCGCGGAAATTCGGATCGCGTTTGGCACCTGCGGCTTATCGGGGCGTCTCGCCTGTTGCAAGCGGATCGGGAGCGCGTGCTCGCCGAGCTTGTTTTTCGCTTTGCACTCGTAGACCCCGAAACGGTCTGGCACCAAATCGGTGACTGTCAGCGTCGACAGCGCGGGCGCTTCGTCCAGCGTGAAGAAGCCGGGCCTCGGACGCACGATTTGTCCTCGGAACCACCATTCGACGGTCGCGTTAGGTATCGCCGTGATATGGCAGCTTAGAGTGGCCGGATTCGCATCCCACGTCATCACGGGGTTCTGACGAGCGACCAATTCAGGAGCGAAGTTCACCGTCAAGTGACCAACCCGCTCGACTTTATCGGCCTTGTTCTCGGCAGAGCAGTAATAGAGCCCGTCGTGCTGCCGACTCACGGGACGGATCGTGACCTGCAGCACGTTCTCAAAGCCCTCTGTTCTCCGCGTGAAGAATACCGCAGAATCCTCTGGTGACAAAGGTAGCAAAGCGCCTTCTTTTCGAATAGCGATATCCGGCCGGGGTTTCCCTTCGGCTCGACACTCGAGTCGAACCTCGGAAAGTGCGTCGGCTGTCTTATTCTCGAACAGGACGATCTTCGGTCGAACGATGACGTCCACCTTGATTTGGGCCAGATCCACGCCGGCCGGGTTCACGGCATGACACGTGTATTCGCCTTCGTCTTCTCGAGCGACGTGAGTGATTTCGAGAACCCCCGTCTCAGGCGTCACCCTGAAGCCGATGACGGACGAGAGATTCCGACCGGAGAAATCGGTCCAGTAGTATAAAGGCTGCGGGTATCCGGTCGCCGAGCAATGGAGTCCACCTAGCGAACCTTCGGTGACTTCTGCGACTTCGGGCAAGTCGTTGATTTTGGGCGGAGTCAGCACGTCGACCGTTATAAGCTTCCGTTGGTATTTGCCTGTTGCTGTCACCATCGCGGACACGGTGAACTTTCCACGGTCTTCTGGTCTCGCGTCTTTGACCTTTAGACCCGGTGCGAGAACCTCGTAGCGGAGCTCATTCCTAACTGGGTGATCGTCCTTGAGCCAGGTCACTGTAGGGACAGGATTCCCACGCACGAGGCATCGGATTGTTCCTGTTCGGAAGAAGAAGAGGTTACGACGGGCTGTATCGAGTGAGCGGGCACGCAGAACTCGGGCTCGTTCCCCGAGATCGACATTCCAGCGGAGGAGGAGAAGAGAATGAAGAGGAGAGGATGAGCGAACGCGCGGCGAATGAAGAGACAGTACAGTCCCGGTCGGAACAGAGCGGGCTTACCTTCCTTGCCTATGACGAGGTTCTGTTTCAGTGGACAATCGTCCCAGCTTATATCGTGGAAAAACGCGAGCTTTACCACGGCTCGCACTTCGTCTGTGTTGGCATAGGTCGCGATGCAGGAATAGTTCCCTGAGTTTTCCGGAGACGGTTTCTCGAAGGATAAAATTAAACTCGACCCGGACTCGACCGTATGGATCGCCCCTATCGGCGTGTAGTCTTGGCCCTGTAATCGATTAGAGAATATTTATTCGTTGAGTTTGATCCTCTTCGCGACCTGACTGCTTATTGGACCTCCTCATCGGTTCTTCCCGCAGCTGCGGCCCACGCGAGTCTTCCGCAGCGCGTACCGCGTCGAATCGACGCTGAAATCAAGCGTAACGCTTGAAGTCGCGACTGAAGTACTTGAGCACTTCATTGCAATTAGTACGTCAGGGAGAAACGTTGTGGGTGATGCAGCTGACTAGCATCTGGATCAGTTCGAAGCCGACCCCGCGTCTGGATCGTGTGGGGAAAATTTCGGCATCACTAAAAACTGATGCCGTGACTGCTCTGGTCATAGCGATGCGAATACGATTGAGAGTGAGCTCGTCGTCGGACGATGTCACGTTCGACCATAGGAAAATTCGCAACAGGTTCCAACGTTTCAAAATATGGAATCTTCGGGATAAGTACACAGCACATTCCGCTGGAACGCGCCGATATCGCGGTCGTTGAATAAGAATCACCGCTCCCGGTTCCAAGCGTCTTGAATTATTTTCATTGCCGAGACGAGCTCCGGTCAAGTCGTCCGACAAGGGTTCCAGTTCGACAAGGGCTCCATCGGCCATAAGACAATAATCGCTCCACCGGCCATACGACAATAATCGCTCCACCGAATGGAATGGGGAGACAATTACGTTTTTCTTGCACCGTCGTGGAGCTTATTAGTGTTCTAGTGAGGTGTACGGAGCATCGCGCTCGGAAGAGGGAAGGCGTTCCGGGAGGAGGGAGAGCAAACGAAAAACGGAAGAATACGTACCTGAGGACCAATCCATCGGAAGTTCGCGTAATCACCGTCTCCTGGCCCTGCTTTACAGAATAGAGCAAAACCTTGCTCCGCGGGCTGATTGTGGACATCGCCTTCAGGTTCGATCATGAGGCGGCCTTCGCCGCCGACCGAATTGAACGCATCGTTCAGGACAAGAAGCACCAACGGCAGAACGCACTTCATGTTGCACTTGTTGTCCGGATGGCTCGTCGCAAGTGAGCGGATCGTAGAGGAACACCTTCTGGGTCCGGCTCCGACTAAAAACGAGCAAACGTTTCAGAGCCTTAACCTTATTTCTCCATCACGACTTTGTCGCAGCGAGAGCCTTAGAAGGGAAATCGGCGTAAAGTGGGTTAGGGAACGAACAGGCCTCCGCCTTCCGCGAACACGTCGTGCTTCTGAAGAGCGTTGTCTCGTTTGCTCGAGCTTGACTTCACGGTGATGGACGCTAGTTCCTTTCCGTGGTGGCCGCTGTCGCCGGAAACGACAGATGCGTTACGCTCCACCCCCGTGACGTTCGTAGTCAGGGGATACCGAGCAAACGAAAACAAAAAGTGTGCAGCGAACTCCTTTTTCCGGATGTGGCTGTCCTCAGACCTACCTCTAGCAAATCACATAATCCTAGCTGATACACTAACGACGATTCAGGCCATCCCGGTGCTTGCGGGGGAGTTGAGCTCACTACTCCCGATCGCCGTCGTCTTCTGCTGAATTTTTTGCTGCTTGAAGGCTTCGTAGCGGCTCGGTCGGTCGGACGATTGGTCGTTGCTCCTCCTCGTTTCGGAGAAACACCACACACCAGCTTCAGTGCTGGGAGCGAGCAGCAGCGCGAGTAATGCTTCTGCTCCTGCTTCTGCTCTTGTGACGGCGGCGCAGGCAGCGGCCACCGATATGAAGAGAGTCTCGCACAGACAGACAGACCAACAGACGGTCGGAGGGGTTCGCTGTCGTGCGTCCGTCGGAGCAGCAGCAGCAACGGCTGACGATGATCCCGAAGGAGCAGGGCCCTATTCTGTGGGAGGCGCGGTGCGACCAACCGACCCGGGCTCCCTCCGGCCGGGGCTCGAAACACGACCTGTACTTCGAGGATCCGCGTTGTTGCTCGCTGGCTCCGGACGGAACCTTCGGGAGAGCTCGAAATTCACGATCTCGGAAAAACGTCGAATTCCGCCCGGCTCCCGGTCAAGCTCGACGCCGACGGAAGACGGATCGGAGACAATCTCCCTCAGGAAAGAGATTTTTCGCGGCCAGGAAGTTGGAGTGCGAAACCTGCGGAGCTCATCACGCAGGCGGCGCGGCTTCACAAATCACGATGGAATCTCAGGAAACGCGTTGAAATACGAATAAAGGAATGCGGCTGACTCATGCGGAATGGTTAACAAACGTATGAAGTCAGTTACGTTGAAGGGGAGGGAAAGTGAGGCAAGGGCAGGTGTACCTTTACTTTGGCATTCAACAACGTAATTCGGTGACGGCAAAGCCGGACAACGACGGTAGTTTCTCTCCCTTAGAGACTTCCCTGAATCATGCGGGAGTTGTCCATCTGAGAATTGCTCATGGCCCATATTACGCAGCTCGGCGAAGATTCCTTGTTCGTTGTCTGGATGCTTACGATCTTGTCATTCTCCTTGGTACTCGGTGGTAGCGCGGATTCGAGCCAGACGACGACTATGGACAATGCCGGGGGGAAGGATGCGAGGGGAACGATCACGATTGGATTCCCGTGCTATGCGGGTATCGCACGATCTTATTCCCGAACTCCAGTTGGTAGCGGGAGTTACGCACGATCCCTCGCATGGAGTTGGATGCCTGCGAAGGATCAGTTCACTAGCCAGAGCTTGACGCGAATCCTGATACGCAATCGATCCGGAGGAGAACACTGTGCTTCTGTCCTCGTTCACCCGCTCTCGTCGGAGGGAAGTCCCGGATTGCCGCCTACTTTCAAGCACCCGCGCCCTCGGAATCCGACCCGGCTCTCAGCTGTCACCGTGTAGCGCCCCAAGTTCTCAAGTTGTGGGAGACAAAGATCATGTCATCATCCTCGGGAGTGCATGATGATCATCGTCGTCGTCGGTTGTGTCAGAGTCGGGTGAGAGGAATACAAGGGGAGAGTCTCCTCTGCTGCTTGCCTGGCTGGCTCTCAGCTGCGCGACGGCTTGTTCAAAGCAGCAGTTCACACGGGTGGCAGCAGGCGGCAACGGAGCCAGTTGTTGTTGTTTTTGTTGTTAAGCAACAATAAGAACCGCGACCGAAAGAGCAACAATAACGATCTCAGACGGGTCTTCCACTGTTTGAGGTCGTTTGTCCGAGACACGGTCCGCGTCGGAGCTGCTGTCGTTGTCCCCGTCGGACACTGCTCCCCTCACACTTCGTCGAGGAACGTGTTTCTCCGTTTGCCTCGATCAGTCGACGAATAAGTGAGTGTGTGAAGTTCCTTCGAAATTTGTGTTCGTTTTCTGTGTCGCCGATCGCTACGTCAATCAATCTGGATACAGTGTCGAGCGTATGAAGTGATCTCCTTTCTCTCTGGTGTGTTTCCCCATCATCAGTCCGAATTGTCAACGCATCGCAACGCTGCAAAAGGGTAAGTCCATCAGTCCTCGTTGCGTGGATCGAGTCTGGCGGCCGAGAACAGAGCTCCTACAGCCGTTTCTGCCGTTTTGAGATGCGGCAATTATCAGAGCTGTGACCTTTTCGTGTGGGTTGGTGCCGCTGCCGCCACTACCGAAGATTCATCTGGAGAAGAGGAAGACGAAGAGCCGACGAGACGGAAAATCTTCCGATTTTCAGGCGCTTCCAAAATCCAGATTGACCACCGACCGTCTCGGTCATCAAGAAAGGCGCCTAATTCGTTCTCGCACCAATTTTGCGCTTCGTCGAGACGGACAAGCGTACAATTGGCTATTTAGTCGTCGAGTAGCGTGTAATGCAATATTCAATAACTCCTGGACCGTTAAATTCATGCGCTTGCAAATTCGGAGACGCCGTTGCTTCGACGAAGCGGATTCCGTAAGCACCGAGCGTAGTGGTGTAGGCTGCTTATCGTTAGCTTTGCGACGATCTTTCCGATAGTAGACTCTCTCAACATACAACGGCAGCCTGACGAAGTGGGGAATGGGGGAATGGGGATTAGCGGCCTAAAAATCTAGGTGTCCACCAGTTTAAAGACAGCCCTAGACTTGAGCATTGGAATGCGAGGTCTGATCCCAGCTCCGAGTAGGCTTTTTTATGATGTCATCATTAGAGCTTGTGGTGTCGAGGTAAGCCGCTCGTCAAAATCGAGCTTGACGCCGACTCATGACTTACGCACGCATGTTTAGCGGTGGTCGAGCCGGCATTGAGAAGCATTGGCTTCTCACCTGTGGGGAGAGAAGGCTTTGATTCTCCAAGTAGTAATGGAGAGACAGATCTTGACACTGATTCAGATTGGTATGGGCATTCGAAGTGAATGGAAAGCCATTCTTTCAATCAGCGAGCCGGGTTGCCGATCGACGAGCAACAGCAAAGGTTTCGTCAAGGAAATGATTTCTTCGCTTTTCCGAATCGCTGGATCAGCAAGGAATCTTTTTGAAGCCTATCATGATCGTGATCTCTCCCAAACTAGGGATATATTATATTCATTAAAATTCCCCTCACGAACGCCTGAACCTCGAGACCGCTGCAATTCATTGGAGGTGTTGGAATCACTCTCGAATGACGGCCCGCGAACATGCTGCGTTCGTGATTCGTGAGCATCAATCTGGAGCCCTTCGTGCTCTGGAGCGGCTGGAAAAAGTCGGAATCAAGATCTATTTCAGGGGCAAACGCTCCCCGACGATCAAACCTTGATAACAAAAACCCGTAATCTCGAAGAGCTGTAAGAATCAAATGATGCTTCACAAGCTTGGAAGAATTTCGACACTGTGAGCCTTTTCTCGTCTTCTTGGAGTTGTCACCGAAGTTCCACTGCACAAGTTGTGTAAGCTCCCAAATATTACCCGGTCACGTTTCGAACCAGTGCGCGGTCGTGTGAGCTGACGAGCTTGCTCGACGATCTGGATTCGGCAGTGACTGGCAGACAGGGACTGCGACGCAGCCTGTCAATAGACAAGAGAGAATTCTCGCGAGCACTGCATTTCGAGTCATCTCGCACATGACTCGCGCATTCGGTCCATGCGATGGCTCGGCTACGGTCCTCATTCTCAGATCTGTGCCTTTTCACGAGCCGATATTCTACCGGTTTCCACAAAAGGAGGAATTTAGGGAGAGCGCGATCAGAATCCGTGAGGGCCGGTCGTAGGAGATTCGGCGCTGTTCGTACCGAGAAAGGGTCATTGATCAATGCGGAGACTTCATCGCCCCAGGCACAACGCAGGCTCCAGCAACCTGTACACTGCGCCGTTTTGACCTCTCGTTCGGATACGCAGCGTTTGCATTTGGCAGCGGATTTCTTCCCGAGCTCGGCAGCACTCTCACCGACCCGAGAGACGTGAAGCCTCAACCAGTTTTTGAGTCCGTAATCATTAGGTGGTTCCGGATAAGGTTTCGGTTCGAGAAAGGGGCAGTCGAAACTCGGCTTCGATTGTCCTGTCCGCAACTTGAAAAGATTCTCGGATTCCTTCCGGTCGGCCAGGATTCGTTTTCCCACACTCAGTGCGACGACAGCCCGAAGACGACCTCTCATTTAACCCTCTCCCCCGGAAGACCTTGAAACCGAGGAGAACTCCTATTCGTCCTTCCCTCCTTCAAGCTCAGCTGGAAAGCCGTCCTGGATCAGACCACACCACGCTGCATGCCAGAGGTTTCCCGGGTTAGAACAAACGGGAAGCCATTGAATATGGGACAGCGTTCTGCGACATCGACATTTCAATCCCACAGTCATGGGACATCGGAAATGCGTTGGTCGATGTCGTGTCGGGAGCAGGAATTCCTAGACTTTTAGATCGAGAGGAAGGCTCGTATCCACGGAAATAGAAAGGAATATATGGTCGGAGTGATCGATTCACTTCGGGGAAAAAACGTCGTCGACGGTCGTTCCCGACGTTGATCGAAGAATCGAAGATTCCGAAAAAATAGAATTCGTTTCTCAGCCGCGTCGGCGTGAGCATTTCGAATCCGAGAGAAAAAATCTGGATTCATTCACTCGACTGTCAGCTGAATTTACCCATCTCGACATCTTGGTTTTCTCTTTGCCTACTTCAAGAAGGTTCGACAACGGCGGTCAATGTGTGTTCGTTGTCTTCCTTCCGTCGTCGAATGCACTGGCTGACCCAGTGACTGCAGGATACGCGAAACTCGAGAAGCGCGTGAGTGCTCTCTCATGGGACGTAGTGTAGCTTAACGATCTGGGGCCGACCTTCTAGTTTTTCCGGGCCAGAAAAAGTTTACTTGGACGTCCTCAGAAAATTTTTCGCTCATTCTGTACAGGAAATTCACATCTTGCGATACTCGTGCCGGGGTCGCCAGACAACTTATTTGCCACAGCTTATCCACACAGCTCTTGTCTCAATAGAATCTGGAATCAAAGTCGGGCTCGTTCCAGGAAGGAGCCTTCTCCAGCTTCCAATAGACGGACTCATTCGAGTCTAAGGCGGCAGTGACGACAACGATTCTCGAGGCCTGAAGTGGCCAGCTGATGGTTCGACTGAGTGGCGAACTGACTTAGAAGAAAGCTGAGACGGCCGCTTATCTCGCGTAAAAACGCCCTCCACAACTTCAAGATTGTATCGGGTCAATGGAACGGAGCGGAACTCCGATCGTTCCATTGACCAGAGCGAGCCGCTGCGTCGTCTTGAGCAGAGCAAACTTCTCTGG